ATATATATATATATAGTGTACATCTTTGATGTGGTCAAAAACTTGTTTTAACTGTTACCTTAAAAACATGGAAAGCCTCAAACTGGATGTTGCGGCTCTTGTCCCGCAGCAGGTTCATCATTAGTTTGAGATTCTCCGGCTTGCTGATGTATTTCGTCATTATGGTGAAATTGTGCCGGTCGAGAAGCAACTCCCCCAGTAACTAGATCATTTCAGAGCAAGACACAGACATTAATATTCATTTGAATTCATATATTTAGTTGCAAATTTGCCAAATTGAGTCCGAAACTTTCTTTGCCTGCATAAATGTGTATAACTTTAAAGATTGGCTAGTTTCACTCCCTCATGTACAAACACTTCTAGTGTTAACAAACTTTAAACCGTATCACAAATCAATAATAAACTTTATAACTTGAGAGAGATAGCAGGTTTAATTTGTCAGTGGGGGACCAGTTTGTTTAGAGATTATGGCTTCAGAACTTCATGATAACATGAATGTTATTCAGATTACGGTGACAGTAATGTAGCACTAAATGTAGTCAAAAACACAAAGTGTAGAAAACACCATATACTAAAAGGTGCGTCAGAGGACATGTAAAACATGCAAAGTGGTCCCACCACTAGATGGCAGTCAAGACAAGGTGATGGAAGAGCGGTTCAGAGAAACCAAACACTGTGACCAGACCCGGTCTTTAAATAGCTCTCTTACACCATGACATGAGACCTGTTTACTGGCTCCTTACCTTGAGGGACTGCCTCTTAGTCACGTAGTTTTCTGAGTGGAGTAACTTCTCATATTCACTGAAGAACTGCAGAGAAAGGGAAGAGGTAGTGAGAGAGTCATCAAAATGCGTCAAGTAGCGGTTTACACAATCTCATCCTTGTCTTGTACCCAAACACAACGACAGGACGGGAACAGATTTGCCCTCACAGACTGACAGATACTTTGTGTTCACAGCCTGCATATTATGTCCCAAATGTCTGGTTTCATGTTTGTTGAGGAAAGAGGCTCTGCCAGCATGCCAAACACCCAGACTACCACAGTTTAAATTTACATAAACCTGGTGAAGAGAAAGCGGTGAAGTTCCTCTAAAGCAAGGAGTCGCAGGCCAGACAGTAATAAATGTGCAGGTTTAAAACCAGGTACAACGCAGGACAATCTGTTCTCCTGACCAGCAAACCAAATGTGGAATAGAAAATGTATTTATCAAAATAAATACGCAACACGTTTGAATTTAATTTAGATTCATTCAATACAGTACATGACCTTTAACCCTTTCTATCTCACTTCGGGTGAATCTACTTGCCTTTTAAAAACACTAGTTTTCGGTTGAGTGGGCACTTACTCTGTCATAATGCTGCTCCAGGAACTCTGCACTCAGTAGTTTGTGTCTTGTGAGGAGGTCCTGAAAGTAGACAATGCAGACAGTGAGAAACACATTCAGCCTGGATGGTCATCAGTTAAGTCTGGTCCTGTTTGTCTCCTCTCTGAAGCACACGCATGAATAATCCTTAAAATAAAAAAACTGAAAACCTCCATCAAAATTAGAGAAGAAAGAAATGTTTTGGGTTATAGTGTTCGTGATATTTCTGGACATAACCCTCATGTGACGACTGGTTTATCTGCTGCAATTATGTTGGCAAATAAATCCTCTATTGGATCCTCTACCACCATCAACAAAGTAGCAGCAAGTAGGACATGGGGTCGCTGAAGAGAGATAAAAACAATATCTCTGCTAATCACTTACAGTATCTCAGTGAGTTACTGTTAAAGATGTAAGGAGCCACACTGTTTCTGTGCATGACTCAAAACAGCTGAACGAATGAGCCAACTTACTTTGAAAGTGGCAAATGCGTCTGAGGCGATGTCGAAGGTGGACATCTCCACGTATCTGAAGAAGTCGTAGAACTGCTCCGACCACAGCGTGATTTTGGCCAGCGGCTCGTGTCTGATGCACTCTCTCAACATGATGCCGCAGTTTAGGGCGATCTCTGGAGACTCATACCTGCACAGACCAACATGTGACAAGGACGTATCATCATATAGGAGCATACCACACACACACACATTCATTTCTTGATACCAAATAACACATCACCAGTTGTGCTAATTAAAAATGTACCATGACAAAGAGCAACGTAACAGAGCATTTAAAGCAACCCGTTTCTTTTTATTCCGGTCACTGGCTTTGAAACAAGTGACAATGGTACACTTGTTTGGAGCAGATGTCACATATTAATAACATCAGAGAATGTAATATTTTCTATCAAAGTGGATTGGGGATGTGTGTGAGTGTGAGTGTGAGTGTGTTCTTACCCTTTCAGCAGCATGAAGAGGATATTCTGCTGGGTGCAGAGGTACTCCACCGTCGGCGTCCGGGTGCCAATCTGACGCCTCAGGATGTTGTTGAAGATTTGAGCCACATCCTTCTTACCCTGGAGGCAACAGATGAAGCACATAAAGGTGTGATAAAGCACACATGAAATATAATAGAGAAAACGATACACACAAAGGTTTATACAGCATACTTCTAGACTGACAAAAAAAAAAAAATCTGACCGATATGTCAAAACTAACCGATAAATAAATAAATAAATGATGAATGGAGACAGATGTCCTCTTATGACAAAACCAAGGACCCTTCTATTTACAAAAAGGACAACAATTCAGCACAAACCAAATGTGTGCAGAACTAAGATGTTGAATTCTATGTGATTTGCAATTTCTTCCCCGGTTTCTATTTTCTGTCCAGGCAGTGAGGACGAGAGAGGGTGAAAGAGGAAGAGAGCGATCACACAACACAATGAGTCACGCTGTGATCGGGTGAGTCAGAAAGCAGCAGTTATTACACCAGTCTGACATATTGCAGGGAGACGTGAGTTTGCCCACGTATCACCATTAGGCAGATGTGTGCGTTTTTAAAAACACGCATCCCTCGACGTCTCACCTCGAAGTCGATGAGCTGGAGGTCTGCTATTAGGGTGCTGAGCAAGCCACTGTTGTACAGCTCCTGGGCAAGCTGGGCCACTGCTTCTGTTTGGGGCTCCTTCTCATTGGTCCCATACAGGATCTCCTTCATGGCCACCAGGCTTTTTGACACCTCCTCTGTGGCCTGAAACACACACACACATTACATCATTTCAAGCATCAGAAAAGCTCCTTCCAACTCATTGTTACCCCACAAAAAGAGTGATGAATCCCCAAACTAAGAGGAGCTAGATTCACCCTACCTTCTCAGCCTTTTTGTCAGAAATGTCATGCTTCTCGAGCACCGTCATGCTGTCCTTAAGGTTCTTGACGATGTCCGCCGGCGACTTGTGGGACTTGCCAAAGGGGAACGGCATGGCGGAGAGTTACCACGAGCTACCAGGCAGTGGGCTGTCCACCTACATGTATGAAACATAAAACTGGATCAGAGCTGGACGGCTGAGCTGAGAACTAAGAGCATGTAAAAAGTAAAAAAGGGGGCAGAGACAATGTTGTGGTGTAGCAGGTGATAACAGATATATAGCCAGTGACTCGCTGAGGAATCACAAGTCGTGCTCATGCAAACATAGCAATGATAGCATGCAAGTCTGGGCAAAGGCTGACGAAACGGATCCTAAGAATGATAACAGTCGATACAACACAAATCACGGATGTGTCAAGCTTCACCTCTACAAAACACCTCAAACTTCATATTGACAGCTTGTATGGTTGGTTGGTTGACGCATCAGTTACAGGATGTGTTATTTTTATAACTATTAGGACGTGTGTTAAACAACATATAATTTACCACACTTATCTATTAAAATGACATGTTCTTTTCTCACCTAACTCTCACTAACACTACCAGTAACTCAATGCTCATGGGTTAAACAATAGATAAGTAGTTAATATTGCATTACACTGTCTCAATAACATATCTATACTTTGGCATCGCTGTTGTGAATCAACAAGGCCAAAGGTAGCGTACAGCCTGTGATAGTTCTGACCTTTAATGCGCCGATGAGAAGTACAATCTAATTAATCTTCTGGTGATTGTCAGTAAATTATTAATTAACCACGCAATGTTTACTATTACATAGGTCTACTTGCACCATGACATAGCCTCGGCCCTTTGTTTGACCCACTCCCTTAACATCAACTAACAAGTCCAAATAAACACTGTCATATTAAACATATAACACCTTCTCAGGGAAGTCATTTAGGTAAATAAAACATACCCATCGAGTGATAAAACCAAGATAAAACTGAACCATATCTCACTGCTGCTCTTATTTAACTGGGTTACAAGAACCCTTATCTCCACAACTCCCCGACCCACCCAACCACCTGACGTAAACTACGGGGCAAAAGCCGCAGTTTTCTGAGCAAACAAGAAGCCAAGAAAGCCTAAACTATGACGGCAAAATGTGCTCCTTTCTTCATATATTGGGTCACAAATCCATCGTCATTGTTCTTTATGTTCATATATATTCTTCGATACACATTTATAATGTACACAGTAGTTACATGTTTATGCTTAGTTTCTCTGTTCTACTTTGTTGTCTTTAATGTCCTTGTTTTTATCTTGTTTATCTGTATAATCTATGTATGTGGCTGAGAGCAATGTGTAAACCGAAGTCAAATTCATTGTATAAAGCTGAGTCAGATTCTGACGTAGGATGACTACCTATCCCAAGAACTCAAGACAGAAACATATCAATAAAGCACAGAAATCATCTCCATTAAAATATGCTTTACCAGTATGATACTGAGGTTTGCCAAAACATCAACGCTAGTCACTTAGAGCTGCTGATCTATCAGTCTGTCACCAACCTGTTGTCCTGCACCAGATCCTCTAGACTCTGAACCCTAACCCTGGAGTAGTCACACTGGTCCTCTTATAGTCCTGATAGGGAGTCCACATTTAGAAAGCAACGCTGGGGCCAGGAATATAAACCCAAGCAGCAAAAGTGGGAGGTGCAGTCCCACTATAGTATGTGATGTGTCATGTGTGACTGGGCTGAAGTTTGCACTTGCTTAACTTGAATCTTTATTAATCTGGACACACCTCGATTTCGCCAGGTGGCCCAAACCGTCTGTCTGCACAGACTAATGCTCGTTAGTGTGTAAGTGATGACCAGCAGGCTGCAAGAACCGCCTTCAGTGTCAGTCAGTGACGCAAATAGGAGTGAAACATATGGCAGGTTCAAAATCAGCTGGTGGCCGCTAACCACAACAATGAATCACGTTAGTAATCCGGTATCGTGTGCATGAGTAATGTTAAGGCCAACGAATAAATGGCAAGATGTGCTGCGGATGCATTAATACCTTTCTAGATACTGAACTATAGTCATGTGAACCAGAGCATGCTTTTATACATCCACAGTTAGTAGGGCCTGAAGTAGTTACCCACAAGAAAAACACACAAACAAAAGTACTATATGTATAAGTACTGTAATATTTCAATCACTGTGCACCAAACAACAGTGCTACCACTGGCTGGCTTCTGGAAGTGTGTGTGTCGACACACACAGAAGGCCTCCGCAGGCCGAAAGCTTAGAAACCCTTTTCCTACCTGCTTTGATTTAACGTTAGCTTCATTTAAAATAGCTTAGATATAGTAAGTAACCTACGCCATAAAAGCCAGATTTGAAACGTACCGCGTTATATCGGTAACGTCAGTTAGCTTAGCCCTGCTAGCATAACGTTAGCCAGGCCTGGCAGTCAGGTTAGCAAATGTAGCTAACAAGCTATACCTTCAAGGCAGCAGTGGCTAGCTACAGTAGCCTCACACCACAATGCTTGCAGATAGCAGTAACGTTAGCTCACACCAGTATATATAACGTTACCTTGTGTTGGCTCTAGTTTCCCCCGATTTGTCAAGACAGCAAAGGTCAACTTGGATGCTTCCTTGTTCGTATAGCTTACTATAAGCTAATTGTGCAGCCCCTTGTTGTCTCTCAGTTCTTTCTCTGAGATCGACTGGTAACGTTTTGCAGCGGAGTGGTTGTCACAGCAGCAGCGTACTCTACCGCCCCCCTGTGGCCGTCTTGTGTCATGGCAACAAGCCCGCGAGGAAGGCAGGTGACCGCACGAGGGCGTGCTCAGCCCATGGACAGATGTGTTCTTCTTCTTCTTTGAGTTTAATGGCGGACTACAAAACCAACGTTTAAGGTGCATGCCGCCACCTACTGTACCGGAGTGTGTAACATCATGACTTTATGATAGTTATCATTTAAACACAATAATAATGTTATTTATAAAAAAAACAAAAAACAATATATGTACAACAAACAAACAATATTGTGTAATGTTATTTATAAATTAAATAAAAAATAAAAAAAGATTGTGTAATGTTATTTATAAATTTAAAAAATAACAAACAAACAAAACTTTTTGTTTGCGGTCGTGGAAAGTATCCTAACTTACTATAATGAAGTAGGAATGTTTGGTGGTAATAGTAATTGATTCAGGCAACCATGCCACAAAATACACCTGAGTTAATAGTGTACACTAGGGGTCGTCATAATAGTGTGTACTAGGGCCTGTTGTAATAGTGTGCACTAGGGCCTGTTGGAATAGTG